AATAAGCAGATAGAAAGATATCGAGAAGATTAAAACCGAATCTGGTATACCGTATGAAACCCCGCTGCTCTCCCTGGAGAAGGAGAGCAGCGAAAACCCTACTCTCTCTCTATCTCGCCTCTGCGTCTCTAAAGCCTCTATAGATTAGTTAGGGTTCCCGTAAGTTAGCCTCCTTTTATAGGAGAAGTTGGCTAACTTACGGGTTACAAGGAAGCCCCCGGGCTGATACACATTTGTGGCCCGTATTACACGTTTAATTAATAACTACACAAATACAAAGATATTTAATTAGATTGGACACCATAAAATATTCCTAACATTGTCTACTCCAATGCAAAAAGAAATGGACATGGTGGAGCTTATGTGGCAATTAACAAAATGGAACAAAGTCCAGCACAAGGTCCATAAATGGACCTTCGGTGCAACCTTGTGACAAGCAAGAGTGGGCCTATATTTATGTAATGCCATACATTTGCTTTTCTCTTTAGATTCCAATATTTACTTTTTGTTTTGTATTTGACATCATTGTTGCGCATTGGAGGTCTCATTCAATGACCCATCCTTTTTGTGAACAGTGGACCAACTTTTCTAAATAGACCCAGATTAGTTTTTTGCCACTTCATCTGCAACGGACCAAGAGCATTGGAGTTGCTCTGAGGGCATCCACTATGGAAGCTCAATTGGGATCAAAACTACAAGTTCGTGGGAGTAAACCCTCACTATGGGAGGTTAAATGTTGATCGGTCAACATCCTAGATCAAGAATGAGTTCTGCCAATTTTGCTTTCAATACAGTCAAGTGGCCTTTTTTGCGGAGGGAGGTGTACCGGTGGAGCAAATGGGAGGAATTCTTCTCCCACATTTCTATCCACAAATCCCACCAACCTTTTAATTTAAAATTTTATGAATTAAATTAATTTATTTTACAAAAAAAATTATACCAAAAAAATAGATTTTTTTCCTTCTATAAATAGACACCAAAGATGGATATGTTTACTCACTTCGAAATTTAGCACTTCTTTCCCTCTTGCATTTGATTTTATCTGTTTAGATTATTTTTTCTCCCTAAAATGGATCCAAACCGTTCTCCTCCTAGATACTACACCAACAGCCTCTCATTCCGAAGAATTCCTCATTCTGCACAACAATCTTTCGTAAAAAAAATTCAAATTGATCCTACTCATCCAAAATTTGGAATGGCTATGCAGCTATTGCAAAATAATTCTAATTCTGTAGAATATTCCCATGCTACTGGTTTGTTAAACGTCTAGTCTCTGTGCATTTTATAATTACAGAAGTCTGGTCTGGTCTGGTCTGGTCTGCTTTGGTCTGGGGTTGAAAAACAATCCAAAAGAAAATATCTCAAATAAATTAATAAAGGTGAGATATATAAAAAATAAAGAGAGAGAGTGTGAAAATTGAAATGTGACCTAGGTCACCATAGTGTAGAGAAATTGTGATAGGTTAAAGGGGATTAAGTTCTTAAAAGAAAGTGATGTGGAAGAGAGAGGTGGGATCAAAATCCACCACCATTATAGATGCTCTGATCATGATAACTCAGTTAAGATGGTTGTGTATAAGGAGTTTATCACTTTGAGAAATTGGTCAAATACTCCCATACTACATTGGACACAATTGGATCCTCCAAATTTTCATCCCATATTCTTAACTACTACTACCTTTGTCCCACTAAGATTGGGACAATAGAAGGTGACACGATTATTAAGAAAAGTGGATTTGTGTGGTTGATATTAAATTGATAAAGTAAGAATAAAGTAAGATTGATAGAGCCACACACATTTTGCTAAATTTGATATGAGACTATCTTAGTGTGATTTCTCGAAAAGGTAAAATAGGACAATCTTAACGAAAGGGAGTATGGTCATCATATGACATATAAACTACCTACCAGCATATGATACGTAGTATAACAATTGGAACTGCTATGAGTTCACGATACAAATTATTACAAATTTTCATATATATATATATATATATATATATATATATATATATATATATATATATATATATATATATATATATATAAACCATGCTTAACTTATATATATATATAGGAGTGAGATCACATACAAACCATGCTTAACTTACTAATCTACAAACTCAATATTATGCAATACTTTGAACTTCAATATGCAGTACAAATAATGTAAAGATGCACTCTTTGAATTTTAATATGCAATGCAAATAATGTAAATATGAAACTGTTATTTTCTGGCTTGAATATTATGAAACACTTTGAACTTCAATGTGCAATACAAATAATGCAAAGATGATTTGAATGGGAAGACTAGTTTGTATGTGATCTCACCCCTGCATCTTTACATTATTTTTACTGCATATTGAAGTTCAAAGTGCTGCATATTATTGAGTTTGTAGGTTAGTATTTTAAGCATGGTTTGTATTTGATCTCTTATATATATATATATATATATATATATATATATATATATATATATATATATATATATATATATATATATATATATAGGGAGTGGTTCCGGTAAGAACAAATCTTAGGAGAAAAATGAGAATGAATCTGGACTGTTGGATTGTATTATGTGGAACCAAATTGTGCATTTGGTGAAACTGAAATGTGCATTAAACGATATTGAAATGTGCAAAATAAAAATTTAAACTCGAGTGTGCATTAGATGAAACTGATATGTACGAAAAAAAAGTTCAAAAAATAACATCACATTGACTTTTTATCCTGCACATTTCAGCTTCACCTAATGAACATTTCAATTTCACGTCATGCACAATTCAACTGCACATAATGCTACTCTATTGCATCCTTTGTGATGCACATTTCAATTTCACCTAATGCACATTACAGTTTCATCTAATGCACACTGAATTTCACTTGAAGCAAATCTAACGGTCTAGATTCGTTCTCATTTTTCTCATAAGATCGTGTTCTTATTTGAACCAAAACCTATATATATAGTCCATTTAGAGCGAAAGTGATTGATTATCCATTGCCATGATGTATTCACGTACAAACCAAAAGCTTGAATCTAGATAAATTAGTTGGGCAATCTTTCATGCATAGAAAGTTAGAAACATGAGATCGCAAGATTATTCGAGTACTTATTATTTCTAATGATGTTTATAATTTTTAGTGATGGTTATTGAAATGCTACAAAATTGTTGGCTTAGAATGGCCATTGGCCAGGAATGTGAATCCCACATCTAACGACGTAAAGCTAAATCAGAAAACAAGAAACTTTTAACATTATTCATTTTGTGCTTCACCCGGCCTAGAGATTAAGAAAACGAGTATCATGTTTAATCACCATTAGTCATGTCCGTTGCATATCTATCTAAATAATCCTTATTTCTCATTAACATCACACGCATTCAACTTTTTTAGTTGTAGTCATTAGTCTATAGGGTGCACCTAACATTGTTTACTTCATTGTTTAATAAACCATGCTTATTAAGAACCGTGTCTTACTAAACTGTGTCTTACTAAGAACCTGCATATATAGTAAGAGGTGTTGACTATTTGATTATTTGTTTGCTTTTATATTACAAAAAAAATCTATTTGTACACGTTCTCTTATACACGTTTTTATACACTTGTCTGTGATAGGTCATTTTTTGTCTATGAACGAGATTCACAGACAAAATTTGTCTGTGGATATTTTTTTGTCTGTGACAGACAAAACACGTCGATTCACAGACAAAAAAATGATCTGTCACATATAAGTGTATAAGAACGTGTAAAAATAGAATGACTTTTATATTACTACTCCGTATTTGTTTGCCTATCACGATTTGTTTGGCGTGGTGGTCAACAATCTGATTTTTCCATTTTAATCGCAGTCATGCTTATTTTCAATGTCGGTTAGAGAAATTAAAGATTGGTGATTTGGGGATGATGTTTTGCGGAGAAATGTCAGGGTCAGGATTAGATGGGGTATCGCCGTACCAGTGTAAATAAATATCGGATATTGCCAAAAGCAGGGACACACCGGTCAATAAAAAAAGCTTAACTCAAATTTGATGTTTGCAAATTCTTAGGTGCACCCTATAAGCTTAACATACACCGCTTCTCCTTTTCTTTATCCCAAAAGTTGGAAGCTGCTTTTTTCTAATTCTTGGTAATTTGGTAATTCTTGATAAATAGGTGGCATTTATATTTATTGTTCCAAAAAAGGTGGAATCTCCCACCCCAGGAGCCCCCCATCCCGACCTGACAGGATGGTGGGGAGGTTTGTCACGGTTACTCAGTCAGCACAATGGCAGTAGACTCATACACCCGTGCGCACCAGAGGCCTAGCCTTATTTCAGACCAGACCAGATCAGATCAGACCAGACCAAAACAGACCAGACCAGACTAAAACAGATCAGACCAGACCAGCAAATTACAATCCAAGTAAAAACATCCTTAACGACAAAATAATCCATACATAAATGGGTCATATTCCTCTCCATTTTCTTCTCTCCATTACTCTCTCCATTTCTTTTTCACTCTATCTCTCTCCTTTAAAATAATAATTAAACATATTTTTTTCTTTTTCCCTACCCCACCTCTCTCTATCTCTCTCCTACTAGACTATTCCGGTTAATGGAGATGAGCAAAATCCTACATAAATAACTTGGACTCAAGAAATTAGCATAAATAGCTCTAGCAATGTATATACTCAACGGGATCTCAAGTCATTGCCGGGCTCTCAACAACTCACCTACATTCTGCTACCCTTTATGATCTCCCATCTTTTATTAGGAATGAAGAATTTTTATCTTTATTTTTTATATTTAGAGTTCTATTGTTTAGATTTTCTATTTGTCGGACCATTACCGGGCCCTCAACAACTCACCTTGATTAGTTCCAAACGGCGGTCGTTCGAACAGTATGTTAGGTTCCCAACATTCCCAACAAATTAATCTCAACTAATTACATGTGTCAATTTATTTATATCCACGGAACTAACGAATTTTTTTCGAAGTAATGTGGATTAAATAAATAATTATCGAAATAATGCTCGGTTAAAAATATTTATTGATCTACTGTTGAGCTTAATCCGGTTGGGGAAAGTCGCCAAATCGTTTGACGACTTTTCCCTCTGCACCTGCAAAAACAAAAAACATAAAAAATAGATCAAAACATACGACAATTTGATAGAAACATGGTGACAAACACAAATCAAAACATACGAGTAATAACATCAATCAAGCTTCACTTTCCATTTCCCATCATATGCATAACCCAATACATAAACGCATCATAAACAAATGATTAAGTAACTAATATCAAATACTTTGCAGGTGAACATATGTCATAAAGTAAAGTGTTTCACAGATTCAAAAATATCTACAAAGCCATTGAAATAGGCTGATAATGGTGAGTAGGGAGCCTGAAAGAAGAAGAGACAAACAACAGTGATAATACCATATCATGTAGTCTACAGAAACAAATGTGAGTAATGTCAACGTCCCAATTACAACAAGCTCCGCTCGCCTCTCCCATATAGCGCCGTATCGCACATGTCTGAGCGACCAATCCTCTGTAGGCTTCCCCTCGCCTATCCAACTTATGCAGATCCACACATGTGTCCACATCTGTTGGAATGACCTGCTCATAACCAAATTTGTGAACTAGTGCACAAAAAATCAAAATATTACATTAAAATTCACATTACACAACAAATCCACAACAAAATCAAAATATTACATTAAATTCAACATTTCATACATATCTACATTACACAACAAATCAATTCCTAATTTACAAATTCAAAAATTATACATTCTAAACCCTAACATGAAAAATGAGATGAAATGGAGATTTCACTTACCTAGAGGAAAGAGTGTCGAAGAAGATGGAGGTGGAGTATCCTTGGCAAGGTGAAGGGGTCTCACCGTCGATGCAATCGCCGGAGATGGAGAGGAGTTCGAAGATCGCCTTTTGCTGCCAGAGGTTATTTTGGGAAGAATGCGTTGTGTCTGCAATATGGACTGCTCGACCCGTTGTGTGCTTTAAAAAGAAAGTCGACAAACGGTTTGGCGACTTATAAGTCGCCATCCCGATTGGCGACTTATAAGTCACCAAACCGTGTGGCGACTTTCTCCAATCCGGGTTAAGCCCAACAGTAAAACGGTAAATACTTTTAACCGGGCATTATTTCGGTAATTATTTATTTAATCTGCATTAATTCGAGAAATTTAATCGAAACTAACTTGCAAATTGCTATTTAAGGCAAAACAACGATCTTATCATGCTATCACTTTTCCTCAGATCAAGATAATAGAATCATTATTCGATTAAAACCTCTTCAATTTCATCTCATTTGTGACCTTGATTCAAGATCCCTAGATAAAAAAACTTAAGTGTAGGATATGATCCACTTACGGTGGTAAACGAATCAAATAATTTATACTCGATTCGCGATTCAAATTCGTATAAGGCTATTCGAATTCAAAAAATTCAAATACAAATACAAATAAGAATACTAAATTTGATTCGAATTGTTATCGAATACAAATAAGAATATCAGTGTATTTGATTCGAATGTTAATCAAATATATTCGATAAATAATAGTGATAATATTAAGGCGAAATTCACAAAAATAATCTCTACTTTTAGGGATTCTACAATAATAATCCCTACTGAAAGTATTCATAAAAATAATCCGAACTAGCATTAGTGTCCACAAGAATAATTTGAGGTAAATTAAAATTATTTTCCATTTAATTCTCCGAAATCTTACCTCTACTTTCCCCTTCATCACTCTTCTTTTTTGGTAACACTTCTATCTTCTATCCTAGAAAGAACCACATATGGCGGAAATGACATTAAGATTAAATGAGTTTTAGTTTTACTTCACTTCGATAAGAAGAACGATGAAGAGAAAAATGAAAGTAGGGATTGATAGTATTAAACGGACATTAATTTGAATTCACTCCAATTTATTCTTGTGGACACTATTGATAGTTCGGATTATTTTTATATACACTCTCAGTAGGGATTATTATTGTAGAATCCCTAAAAGTAGGGATTATTCTTATCAATTTCTAATATTAATAATAGTGATAACATTATAATAATTATTAAAAGATAACTATACCCGCAAAATGTAGCCTATATATACATTTACGTATACGAATTTCAAGCCTATTTGTAATAAATCAGAAATACCATACGGAGTAAGAGTTGTAAATGATGCAAATAATTTTAATTCGATTCGTGATTTGGATCTAAGAATTATGATTCAAATTTGAAAATATATAATATATATTTTCAAATTAGCTTTTGGTTCAAATATCTTTCAAATACGAATACAAATAATTATGTATTCAATTCAAAGAATAATCAAATATATATTCGTTTATACATATACAAAATCAACTACTGAATATGCATGTGTGTGCATCAACTATCCACTATGTGTGTATGTGTGTATATTTTAATTATACTCCTTATATCTTATGGTTTTTTATTAGCAACAATGCTAAATATCTAACATAAAATTAGTGTCGTTTGACTTTAGTATATACAATTATCAATTTATTTCACATTGTAAGTATAATTTCTAATATGTGTGTGTTAGTGTTTATTTTAAAATGTTTGAAATAAATGTATATTTAAAAATCATAGTTGATTCACTTAATTACATTGTACACAATCTAAAAATGCATTGATCCATTAATTTTTAAGAAAATGTAATGTTACAAATCAAATTCTAAAAACACATATTAAGTCATAGCATGCATTTATGACATAAAAATATAGGAAAAGTTATTTTACAGTGATATTTGGCTAATATTTAACTTATGCTCAAATCGATTCGATATTCGCAAACGATTTCGTTAACTACTCATATTGTCAAACAAATACAAATCGAAATTAATATTCATTTCATATTTGAATTCGAATTTGAATTCGAAAAAGTTAAACAAATACAAATACAAAATCTCATTATTCGTATCGATTAGTTTACGACCGTTTCATCCACTAACCATTCAACGCTTTAAGCAGGTCATGACTCATGTCTTTCTATTGAAAGAACCTTTTTTTACTTTGGTGTCGTTGGTAGAATTAAAGCAACCCTACTGATTAGTGAAAAGTGAAATCATGGGTATTTGATACGAAGTCCATAAATATTTCCTACGTGTTTTTAATTAGATGGAGCTTTTGTCTGGTCTATTAAATGTCTACTTCATGTTATACAACTGTTACAGTGTGACCTGATCTGATCTATTTAAATTCAATCTGATCTGATCTATTTAAGTTTAATCAGCTATGTTCTAATCTTAATTGAAACCAATTCAAGTAAAGGTATCCTAAAAGAATAGCTTCCATATAGTTTTCCATTCAAGCTTTTGGCACAAAAAAAACGTTTTCATTTCTTCTAGATAAGTATGATAAGTACGTCCATGGGAGTGGTACGGTGGTACCAGTGTACCACCACCCTCTAACTTAGATTGCACACACATAAACCGTTGGGTCACATTACTGTTAGGGATCTACCTATGTTAGGAGAATTGGGCTTAATAGAATGTTAGGAATTGGGCCTATTAGAGCAAGAATAATAATAAGTGTATTAGATTAGTATAAATAGAAGAAGTTGGGAGAAGTAAAGTAGGCTTTTAGACATTTGGTCTTGGGACCGGGAAGGATACGAAACTGAACGTCTCTATCTTTTGGGGCTTCGGCTTTGGGGGGCTTTGGCCTTTGTACAGATTAATGTTCATCTTCTTCAATAAAGATTTTCCATTGTTCTTGATAATAATTTCTGCAATTTGTGTATATTCAGGAGGTTTTTAACAATTACTCACATAGAAACATTTTCACTCACCCAGTTCAGACAGTATTTCACACATACAATTATTAAAGCTTGACTGCGCACACAATTATTGGTGTATGCCCAATGCGTGTATGATAATGTCATCCCTTTGTGCTCTTGAACGATATATTAAACCTTTCAAAATAGTCCTGCGATCATGAAAGCAAGATGGCCAACAACAATCTACACAAATTTTAAAAAATGGGGTCTGTTAAACGACCCACCAAGGCAAAGGTTACTTCATTCCTACTGGCTGCTCACCTGCACTAACAGAAAGATACAGCCATGAGACGAAGATAAAATAGATCACTTCATTTACTACCCATACGATCAAGTTTATTAAAATCGCAATTTAGATCGAACAAATGTATGATTCTAAGATTTGACCTTAATGAGTCGATTCAAATCGCATACAAAGTCACAAATCTATAGAGTATTAGTAAAACTGGGGTAGAATTGCAAAAATCGTGAAGAGAATCGTATATTCGTATGGAATTGCAAGTGCAACTGAATTGTATTGATGATACTTTTAATAAGTGTTCATATTAGTAATGATACCGACTATGAGACTAAGACAGGTAAGTCCAATGGCGATTAGAGGTCAAAACAATTACAGGACAATTAGTAATTGTTTTCCAAGTACAAAACTTGGGTTTCAAGTATATTTTAGGACTCATTTGTCAAATGTTTTGATAGTTATAAATGTTTTTTGATGATTTACATTTCAAACTCCAAACTACCAAACTGGTTTTCAAAACACTATCGATTTGATTAAAAAAATACGACTTTAACAACCTAGCATAGGATAACCCATACTAAACAGCATAAAGAACAATCCTATAGAGGAAGCTTGACTCACTCGAGGGCTTTTGTACTCTATTGACTAATACTCTTTCTAATAGTGTATCTTCGAAATGTATCTTTAAAAATGTATCTTCATACCACTCTACATAGAGCTTTCATTTCATTGAAACACAAACACAGACTCACATTCTATTCATTATATATTTTGTAGATGTTGTCATCAATTTTGCTTCTACATGTTTCTGGTGTACTTCAGAGTCAATATTTTGTTGGAACATTAAAATAAATTGGAAGTTCCAATTTTCTACAAAAGGGAAATATATTTAACTGATTTGATAACATAATTAACTCCTTAGTTGGTGGTTTTATAGTTTATCAGTTAGGATGTTTTTACTTGGACTGCAATTCCTCCCAGACCAGACCAGTTCAGACCAGATTTGGATAGTTATAAAAATACAAAGAAACCAGACCAGTTTAGACCAGACCAACAAATTACAGTCCAAGTAAAAACATCCTTACTTCCCCATGGATCACAATAAAGTCATTCTAGTTTTAGATAAATAGCAAACCAGCTAAAGTACACCATTCAGAAAAAAGAATAGAAAGATCCAACTGTATCAAGACATGACTCTTCTTCCTAAATAACAAATTACTAGATAACAAGACCAAATGAGTTCACCAATTTTTTTAGCCACGGTAAAGATATCTATGGGCGGTACATGCCCCGCAGCGGACATGCCATTTGGTGAATCATAAATTGTGAAAAATGAAACCTATTCTCTGTAGTCTGTATATACAGTAACTAATTTTATCTACAGGACTGTGTCGGTAAAAGAGATAATCAGGAGCTTTGAAATACAAAGGGTTAGCATTCACTCATTAAGTGACTAATAGTATAAAGGGGAAATGCTAAAGTAGGGTGATGTTTAGGCCATCAGAACCATGTGCCCATTATATACCGAAACATTTTATCCTAGGGAGCAGGTTGGCAGGGTGAGACCCCCAATGCATGTCGCCGTAGTTAAATGCATCTCTTAAGTATGGCAGTGAACAAAAGTACTAGTAAGATTACCTTTGCAGCACTAGAATCATGTGTAGCAAGTGAGCTCCCATCTTTTGCAAATTTGTAAGAGCATTCTTTGTATGCTGATCCAAGACCTATTCCAGCACCAAGATTTATACAAGCCCAACGTGCGGCAGGACTGCCTGAAATGCCACTAAGTTAAGCACTTTTTATTTCAATAAGTCAGCTTTTAATTTGAAGGCGCATAGACAAATTGACCATCATCAAGATTCAGCATTTTTCGGAGAGCATTTACAAAGAAGCCTCCAGAAAA